GTTGTATAAGCATTGGCATGTCTCATTTCCCTAGAGATTATTTGGCCCCACCCCCTCAGTCATGGTCTATTGACTTTGAAACTTTTGCTTAGTATTCATGTATTAGTTTGTGATTAAGTTGGTTTATTGGGAACCACGAATGGTAGGTCAATGATATTTGGTATGCAGTTGTATTAGCATTGGCACATCTCATTACCATGGAGATTATTTGACCCTGCCCCTCAGTTATGGTTAATTGACTTTGAAATTTTGCTTAGTTTACATGTATTAGTTTGTGTTTAGGTTTGTTTAAAGAGAACTACTTATGATAAGTCAATGGTATTTGGTATGCAGTTGTATTTGCATTGGCACATCTCATTTCCAAGGAGATTGTTTAGCCATTTACCTTCAGTCATGGTTTATTGACTTTGAATATTTGCAAAACTTACATGTTAAAGTGTTGCTATTTTAATTTCAACATTTGCATTATCGAAATTACAAAAAAGCGAGACATATCTCTGTGATAACAGTGTATATGTAAGTGAAAATAGGTTTGCAATAAAAGGACATGCAATATTTTTATTTCAAATTTCAAATTTACATTATTCTAAATGCATCATGATTGTCAGATTGTAGAAAAACACAAACCATGAATTAAAATTGATTTAAAATAATGGTTAAAAGTATAATTTTGTTACAGAATATTTATCTTATCTGAAAAAAGTTTGCTATATATATAAACAAATATCAAATGATCATTTCAGAAATACATTGCGCTTCAAGTGCTGCGTCTTTACTAACATTTAACATAGTTGTTTTTAGAGCTAGTTTTGATTTGTCAGGTTTTATTGTCTGTATCTTGCTTTTGTTCTATGGATGGTTCAGTGGTTTCAATGTATTCAGAATATGATGTGTGTTATTCAAAGGGATCTTTTAATGTAATTGTGAAATGATATACATTTGATATTTGATAGTTATTGAGATCGAAAAGACCAATATTAGTGCATTAAGCTTTCAATTTTGTTTATAATTTTCAAAATGAAGTTAAAAAACATTTTAAATCAAAATCTAATTGTATTTGACACGATATGATGCATCTGAAATCGAAAAAAATTGAAAAAATGCATTCTGAATATTAAATTAAATTTAAGCACTCCAAATAAAAGTTAATATTGTACGGTATATTGAATTGAATTTAAGCACAAGTTGAAAAAAAATCCAAAAAGTATATACGTACATCGGCTTTTTGTCTGGTTCTGAAAAGCCAAGACGGCAACGAAGGAAGACCTGCAGTAGAAATAATATTTAGTAAGTCTAATGTGAATGATCTGGGTACTTCACATATTTTATATTGTTTTGACCGAACAAAAAAAAAAGATTATTATCTATAATTTCCAATACTTTCATTCAGTCACCTGAAACTATCATCTTCCAGTAATCTTTATAATTCACACATGAAATATATCAAACCTTGGGATAATTTTCAACCTTGGACCTTCGATACTAGGCTGTCATCTATATTTTGTCTACATTCATTAGATGAAACATTCATATGGGTGTTATCTTAAAATTAAACTTGTGTGTGTGATTCTCATTGTAAATAGTTCCTTAAACCATTTAACATTGTGAATGTTGAAAATGTTGCATAACCGTTCTTAAAAAATCCCCCAGGTTTAAAATTCAAAATTTGTAGAAATTTAGATTCTACCTTTGAATCGAATGTGAGAAGACATTTCTCCACTTTAAACAGTTAATTTTTAATTTTTTATTTAAAAAGTGAGGCTTGAAATTTGTTTTGTTTTCAACATTTTCTCCAATTGCCAAGTTAAAGGTTTAAATCAATGTTAGTACGACTGAAAGGAAGAGGTACTGTAACTATGCTTCCAAATTTAAGAAATGGTCGATGATTTATTTTAAACAATTCGATTTTGCTCTGCATTTTTTTGTCTAGTCTTGAAAATTAAAGAAACATATAGAAAGACTGTCTACAAAGTTAATTGATTTTTAATTTTTTATTTCATACTATCACCGACATGTTACTGACTAAATGTATCATACAGAAGCCTTTCACTACAGATACTGTGTTTTTCAGTTGTGATGGCAGTGGAGTCCAAACAGGCTGAAATTAAGGGCAAGGGGAGGTAATACCCCTGTTTTACTCCTCGTACTGGAAGTTCCTTTAGTGTAGGCAATTTTTTTAATTATGTCTATTATATGTGTATAAGTATTTATATATCAGATGTCTGCTAACTAGTCTATTGCTATTATATAGAGCTTTGTAAATAAACATTACTGTAAGGAGAGTTCTAGATAATAGTTTTAAAGGTTGGAAGAAATTGTGGGTTACAACCAATTTTTTGGAAATTTTCAAAATATTGGATATGTTTTAACACACTTCTGGTACTTAATACATTATGTTATAATAATCCAGTAAATCATCATGATCGGGGGAAAAAAAATTATTGTTAGAAAAAAAATAGAAAATTTTGTGACAAACTGTATATTTTTTTTTTTTATATATTGTGAATGAAGCAGACATTTCAGTTATTCAAGTGGACAGTGGATTTTTATAGCATAAAAACCAATGTTGAAAAACACTTAACAACAGTAAGGAATCAATAGCAGTTCCAAGGAAGATGATTAAATAGATCTTGAACCAAGTCGGAGGCTGTACCATGAATGAAATCAGGCAAGTTTAAGCCATACAATTTTTATAGATTCTATAGAAATGAACATCAGTACATAAAAGTACACAAGACAACAAACAATATGATTATTTTTATCTTTCTCATTCATAACACCAATAGCGAGTTCATTTACCATTTTCATATATTTTATAATAAGTTACGAGGTATATGAAAACAATTATAATATCAAATTATTTTGTCCAGGAACAGTTATCGTCCTTTGATTTTCGTTGTCTACAAATACAGTCTAGTGTGGACAGAGTGTTACTTGCAATTTTTTTTAATACCCTTTCCAAATTTATTTCTTCCATGTTTTATGCCTCAAATAGCAAGTAGGGGGATGAAATTACACTAAAAAAATTTGGGTCATGAATTTTAAAATAGTGATTTGGTCCAGCTAAAAAAGGTTAAAAATTAGTATTTCGGAAGTTGTCAAAAGAATTCAAGATCCCTTAACATAAAATTGTACATATATTGAGTTAGAGCTGATGAAGTTTTCTATAATTTTGATATAATTTGTCCCAAAAGTAGTACACCACACTAAAAATATTATTGAGAAAGCACAGGTGGGATTTTTTTAGTAATCATTTATTGTCCAAAAGAAATGCACTACGAAATAACTGTGTTCTCGGGCCATTTTATCTTTACGGGGAGACAAGTACAACAAACAAAACAATAATGTTTCATTCAATGGGAGATTACTTGGATAATTTTTGTGCAGTTGGAAATCAAACCTTTTTCCAGCTCTTAAATTCCTACACAGACAGGACTGATGCTATATTATTGGGTAGTAAGAAACGAAAAAACTTTTATAAAGTTTAAGGATGATAGTTTAGTTAAATTGGAAAAATATTTAATTTGTGTCAATTTTAATTAGGGCCCCGCCAAATGGCGGATGCCCTATAGTGATCAGTCTGTCCGTCCTTCTGTTCGTCAGTCCATCCGTAACAAATTGTGTTAGCTCTATATCTAGAGAACCGTTATGATTTCAAAGTTTATACTTGACATGTATATTAACCAACACCAGAGGGTGTGTCATAATGTATGTACAACTTCCTAGGTCAAAGGTCAAGGTCAAGGTAAAAAACTTTGGTTTTAGTTGACAACCCCATGTCCTATGGTAAAGATCGTGTCCACTCTATATCTTGAGAACCGTTATGATTTCAAAATTTATACTTGACATTTATATAAACCAACACCAGAGGGTGTTACGTGTGTCATAATTTATGTACAACTTCCTAGGTCAAAGGTCAAAGTCAAAAACTTTGGTTTCAGTTGACAACCCCATATCCAATGATAAAGATACAAATTTTTTACCACACATTATTCACAGCAGGGCCCACAGATATGGCTCCCATCTCAATGATATCTAGTTCCTTTTAGGTTATTTCTGGGACATGTTTCATGGTATTTGGAGTAAGGCTTGGTGGCCTAGTCTACTACAGCTTAGATATAAGTAGGTTTATAATTCTGTTTTTGAATCAAAAGATATGTTCATTATACTATAAAAAAAATATAGGGAAAATAATGTGCCCTGAGGATTGAAAAAATATGTAATCAGTATCGTTATAGGTTACAATAAACCTTTATAAATATAAGGAGATGTCGTATGATTGCCAATGAAACAACTATCCACCAAAGTTTAAATGAAGTGGATGACATAAATTATAGACAACCAAACAGCTTCAACAATGAGAAAAACCCATACCGTATAGTCCACTGTAAAAGGCCCCGACATGAAAAAATGGGAAACAATTCAATAGAATTATGACATACATGAACCAAATACAACCACTGAACTACAGGCTCCTGACTGGGGACAGGCGCATAAAGAATGTGGCGATGTTAAACATGTTTGTGAGCGCTCAACCCTGCCCTAACCTGGGACAGTGGTGTTCAGCACAACATAAGATCATTGGTTTACAATGTTATATTCTCACGGCTATAATGCCATATTGCTGTGAAAATATAACAGATCAATTGAAGCACCGATAGTTTTCTTAAACAAGTATATGTTATTAATATACTGTTTTGTTAAAGAAATCTTTCGTGCTAGGATTGATATGTAAAAGGAATAAATCAAACAAGTATATTTTTATGCCTTTGCCGTATTGGAGGGGGCATTAAGTGTAACCCTTGTCCGTCTGTCTGTCCCGTCCATCTCAAAAATTGGTTTCCATTCTCTAACTTTAGTTTGCCTCAACCAAATGTTATGAACTTATACACAATGCTTATGATCACAAAACGATCTATGTGGAAGTTGACTCATGCATATTTACAAGCGGGGGCATCTGTGGCCCATAGACACATTCTCCATTTATTTTATTATTTGTTTATAGGCTGATGTAATGACAATGATTTCATGGTGTTGGGAGTAAGAATTGGAGATCTGATACTGCTAACATGTTGGTAGGTATACAAACTTTTTTTAATCTATTAGTATTTGATATCAATTTAATAATGGTTCAGGTATCAGAAAAGATTGAATTACATGGAGATATTCAGCTCCAGAGGAAAGAGGGTATATGATTGTCCAAAATGGTAAAAATACTGCCAAGCTTAGAAAAGAGAAATTGTTTTTGACTTTTTTTTCTATTTGTCAAGTTTTAAACTGAATACCCACTAGATTTCGTGAGTAATAGTGAACCACAAATTTTAAATGTTCAACAACGAAGTACCAATTTTCTATCAATCGACTTTCAATCAAATATCCACAGAATCCAATTTTTCCTCAATCCCCATGATTGTTGAATATTAAATGAATCCACAGAAATTCGATTTTCCCTCAATGCCCATTAAAATATCTGAATCCACAGTAGATTATTTTGAGGAGTTTAAATAACTGATTCAACTTTGTATTACAGGTTAGCATCACAGCTTGTCCATAGGGATACTGGCTGGGGTAGCATTTGGATCTGTTTCAAGGTGAGAATATATTTATTCATCCACATACAAATTTAATCAATTGATGAAATCTTGTGGACAGTTTAACTTTCTATAAATCTTTATTGTTTGCAATTTATATCGTCTTGATATTTTCTACTGTTACCTTAATAGATGTAAACAGATATTTTTATAGTTGAGAAGGTTTATAGTCCTTTTTAACTACTTTCACTTATTCCATCTTTAAACTTTTGCCAAATGACCAAGTACTGAATCATAAAGAGAATCATTGTTTTTATGATAATAAAGAATTTTGTTTACTTGTAAAGGGGAGATACCCTCACATTCATTTGCAAGTGCTGTTACAAAGATAAGATGTCTTAATTATATTAAACTTTGCTTCTTATTCAGTTTTGTATTTCTTTCAATACAAATTTCCAAAGAATTCATTTCTTCAGTCAATATATGGAGAAAACAAAGTAAATGTCATAAAACTTGAACTAAACAATGAAAGTTTATCAAAATAGCCTGAATTATTTTACCATGTATGTACATTTTTCAAATTTTCAGCTTAATAACTTCTGCAATTGTCTGAAACTCAATGAATGATTAATGCGATACCGGTAATAGTAATTTTAACACCTTGAAAATCAAAATTGGTATATTAAGATTGCTTTCCATTTTATAACAAATTTAGCTGCACGATTTCTATTGCAATATTTTTTGGTAAATCAATAAATTTGAATAGAAAACAAGTATTTTTACATACAACAATATCTGTCTTATTTAAAAGAAAAATTGCCACTCAAATATTTAAACATTACCTAATTCATATATTTTAACATTACTTAATAACTTTGAATTGTCAACAAATGAAATATTATTTTATTCCTTTTACAGGTGTGTTCCTGCTGCTGCCTTGTGTGTTCAATCCTGTGGACAATAATAATCATGCAAACCACATATATGTTGCATTTTTGTTTATTAAAATCCTTAAGTGATGATTCTGAAAGCCAAATGATTAATTTTTTAATGCTATTATTTATTTTCCATTTACTGTAAACTCACAAATTTTTGTTTTTTAATGCTGTTATTTATTTTCCAATTATTGAAAATTCACAGATTTTTGATATATTTTTTTTACTGAAAATTGCTACACCGAGATAGATTTTGCAAAAATAAAATTATATTTTAAATTTTGATAGCATTATTTATTTGCAACATGTCCTTAATGACAATAATTAATTTAAATAAATGCTTGCAAATTTTTTTTGAATTTACAGTATAAATATGTTTTCATTATTTATATATGCGTGATATTATTATACATTGTATTTTGCTTTATAATAAACAAAATTGTATAATAGTTGTTATTTGAGAAGTACCAGTGTACTGTTTTACAAAGCATCCATTAGACTTTCATCAGTTTACAGACGTCATTATTGTGAACCAAATTCAAACTTTCAATGGTGAAAATACATGTACCAATACTAAATAAGGACTTACAAAAACGCATGTGATGTTGTATTTATTCAATATCAATAATACATTTTCAATTTGTTCAATATAATTAACACTTATTCAAAATTTAAAAGTTGATTTATGACAAAATTTTCAACATTGTTCCTATTAAAATTTGTCTTTTTGTGTGTTTGACAAATAAGAACTAGAAAATGACGATGTTTAGATCAAGGCCTTCTTAAATGTATTCTATAACTAAATAAACAGCTGCGCCACGAGCGCATGATATGCTCGTCGTTTTGTGTGTGAGGTTTTATGCAATAATCATAAATAGTTTCTGAGATACGGCGCGACATGTGAAAACCCCCCTTTTTTTTAATAAAAAAATCAATAACTCTAAAATAAAATTTTTGAATCATCACCAAAAAGTGTATACAGATCTTTAGATTAATATAATTAAGAAGTGTGTAAAGTTTTAAGCAATAATCATAAATCGTTTTTGAGATACGGCGCGACATGTGAAAAATACATACCCCTGTTTTAGTAACACAAAGTTCCGTATCTCAAAAAATTTTAATCTTATTTTCATCAAAAAGTATACAGATCGTTTGACCATCATAAGAAACAACTATATTAAGTTTCATGAAATTTGGATAAGTTGTTCTCAAGTTGAGGTGGGACATGTGGATCGACGCCGGACATTTGTATACCATAATACGTCCCGTCAAAATTTTGACGGGCGTATAACAAACACACAAAAATTGCAAATTTCAATGGGAACAATGATAAAATTTTTGTCATATGATTAAATCAGTGTTATATTAAACAGATTGAAAATATATTATTTATATTGAAGAATAATACAACATCACATGCAGTTCTGTGAGTAATAATACATGTATTTTCATCAATTTAGAAGATCACTTTTTAACTCAGGTAAATTAATCAATGAGTGATAGATTTCTCTTAGAAGAAATTTAAAGGTCCCAGTGAATAAACTGCACAGAGAACAATAGCTATTGTTTTTATTAGATGGGACAAAAGAACTTACAAAAGTTTAAATCGACAGGTAACTTTCGAGTGAATCTGTGGAAAAGTAGCCTTTGGTACGCAATAAAAGTTTTGCATGTTGGCACAGTGAAACACAGTGTGTCTGTTGAAGATGATGGTGTTTGATATGGATAGGTTTGTTTAAAAATAATATGTTCCACAGGGCGCAGCTTGATACGACCTGAACACTTAGGGCACTAGTATGATACAGCTCAGAATTTTGATTGTGATGAAATATTTGACACAGCATACATAGGTTTCTGACAAAAAAATTAGAATGAATGTGGTCTAAGAACTTAAAAATTTGAAATTGGACATTTACTTATTATGGTCCAATATCCAAAATATAAATGCATGGTTAGATTCAGCATATCAAAGAATTCAATTATTGATGAAATCAAACAAAGCTTAATTTTGGACCCCTTGGACCTCAATGTGAACAAATTTGATAGTGAGCCCAAAATCCAAAATCTAAAGAAATGGTTAGATTCAGCATTATAAAGACCCCAAGAATTCAAGACTTGGAATTAAACCCGGGGTCCCCATTCAAATTGGTCAAGAAATACTGTAAATTCAGAAATTATTGCAATTTTTTTAAAATGGACAAAAATGCGAGATTAATTATTGTTATTTCATGAAAATCTGCATACATATCTTTGTATCAGATATAAAAATACAAGTTCTTATTATTGTGATACTCAATCAGTTGGATTATTTGCATTAATAAAAAGTTTGCAATTATTTCTGAATTGACAGTAATTAAGCAATTTATACAAAGTATTAGAAAAGTATTATTTTTGGTCCTTATTCATAAACGGTCAGGGCCATAATCCCCAAAATTAATCCCAACTTTTCAGTTTTGGTATGGAACCTAGTGGTATAATTTCATAGACTTATACTTGGGGAGCTACCATTTGATTTTTATGGGGGGCTAGGATTGAAAATTTTGTCCTGCCTTTTTATTTTTCCCTCTATTCGGTCCTGCCTTTTTTTTTTAGTTTATCCTGACTTTTTTATTAAACTAAATTGTCATCCTGCCTTTTTTTTTTTACTCAAAACTCCTGTCCATCCTATTTTTTTCAAATTTCATCCTAGCCCCCCCCCCATAAAAATCAAATGGTAGCTCCCTTAAGTTATTGTCTTGATACCAGAAAATCCTTGTTTTTTGCCCCTTAATTCCTTTATGCCGATGTTGTGTTTTGTGTACTATTGTTTGTCTGTTGGTCTTTTTCTTTTTTAGCCATGGCGTTGTCAGTTTATGAGTTTGAATGTCACTCTGGTATCTTTCGCCTCTCTTTTTCAACGGTTTGGGCCATTACCCTCAAAATCAATCCCAACCTTCCTTGTGAGGTATAGAACCATGTGGTACAATTTCATAGAGCGTCCTATTGTGTACGTACTAACGTTTGAACAGTTCTATATTTGAAGATTATTTTAGGTCAAAAGTTACCAAAGCTATAGTTCGGCAAGGTCACATTTTAACGTGGCCTACTCTTCACCTTCCTCAAATTTCATTTAAACCTCGCTTTGAATTTATATGTTGTGCTGGATGTATAGATACGAGACACGTCCTATCGGAATGGAAACGTAAAATCCAATGCCTCATGCAGGCAAATGCCACGCACTGCACGTTAAAGAATCCTTGTAATATCTCCTTAAGATGTCTGTAATTATTGGTGGCCTGTTGTAAGGTAAAATTTCTGCCCTATCTCACACATCCTCTTTCAAAAGAGGCAGTTTATATTTGTGCTAACAAGCCTTGAAGAATTGACGTATTTTGTTTTCGTCCTGAGTATGCAAGAAATACTGCCACTATGTATTCAACATGAACAAGAAACATTTGTTCTTTTATGCATAGATGTACTGTGATCCACAAAATTTGAAAAGTAAAATAACAAAAATACTGCACTCCAAGGAAAATTCAAAACGGAAAGTCCCTTAATATATATCAAATGGCAAAAATCAAAAGCTCAAACAATACAAGTATATTACGGGAAATATACATGGGATCCCTTTCATTTAAATAAAAGTAAAATAACCATGACAATAACTTAAAAATATTTTCAGTGAATCAGTTTAAAGAGGGTCGTAATGGGGGTACCTTCATGACGAATAACGATAAAAAATCTAGCCAAATGACGTTAACGATAGTTTTAAGTGCATGATGATAAAATGTACTGTACACTTTCTTTATGACGATAAAGCAATATACTGATATTGACTAATCATGTTAAATTCTTTCCAAAAAAAATGGTAACGATAAATTATTTGAGACCTCTGATGAATCACGATAAAATTTTAACCAATTTGATGTTAACGGTAGCCGAATATGACCGTTTGACGCCTGACGGTAAAGGGCATCCCTACCCTCTTTAAATAAGGGGGAAATAAACATGGGCAATAGCGAAATGAATATTAGTTCTAGCTGCTACTACTACTACTATAACAAAGAGAGTGGATTAGGTGGCTGCCTTGATAAATCATCTGGGAAAGATTTAATTTTTTTTAAACTGTGTCAAATATCTATGATATAAGTAAAGAAAATGCAAATTTAAAGTCACCTAAAGGAAATTTGGAAATTGAATCAAACAAATATTAAATAGGATTTGAAATTTTATGTTAGTTATATTTTTTGTATCCAAGTTACACATACTAAATTGAAAATAAGTTTTATAAGTATCAACAAAATCAATAATGGCAAAGTGAAATATCATCATGATCATAGTTTTGAATTTTTGAGAATCAAAGATTTATAGAAATGTTTTTAATTCAAAAGGATCAATAAAGCAGATATTGAGTACAGGGTTGAAGCATTTATTTTATACCTCCGAGTAAAACTGGAACCTGATAGAATGCATAGCAACGTGTAATAACATTGAATCTATGGATATGTTCAACTATACCACTGGATGTACCAGTAGAATAAAAATTTCTGGACTGGTAATCACAATTTGTATAAAGTATAAAGTATATGAAATTAAATAACACTGTGGTAGTATATATATAGCCGGGCCATGCTTTCAATGGGGATGATGCGGCTTTATAGCTTGGCATATATACTTATTGACGTCATAATCACCATGTAAAACGCCATAAGTGAGTGTTTACTGTATACGATCGAAGTAAAAGGCAGAATTTTCTTGTTTCAGGGGGGATCAAATGTTCATGGGATTCAAAATACCTTATATGACAGATATTTAATTGACAATTTTGTTCAAATAAATGATGCAGTAATTGTAGACCAATGGTTTTTGTGTAATCATAATTTGTTCTTGGTCCCCTTATACTAGCAGGACTCAACTTAACTTATTTATACTGGACCCTTAATTATCTGGACCATACTAACTAAGTCTGAACTAATAATCTACCAGTCTGTTATAGTCTTAACCCCATTCTCTGTCTGTACTTAACCAGTTTTTAATGTCTGAACCATATTCGACCAACGGTTGGCCTGTACTTAACCAGTTTTATATTTAATTTTTTTTCAATCTTGATTTTGTATAGTCTGTTATTATTATAAACAATGAAATTATCTGAAATTTAAAAATTTGATTTTAAAAAAGACCCCATTGCAATAATTAACGATGTCATTAACCAATGGCTAATACTTAAATCCAACCAAAAAGTACTGGCTAAATTTATCCAGCAGATGGAACGTTTTATGCACTAAATAATGTTTGAGCAATAGAAATAATCCATTGGTTTAAAGTTAACCAGTGGATAAGCTCTAGTGCAAATATTATATATATAACCACCGGCACCGG